TGCATACTCCCCAACATTTCTTATTTGTATGTTCAAAAAATTATGTAAAACATTAATCTTATGACATTATTTATGCATTTGAAATGCAGTGGAAAGATGGAGTTTAATACTGATTTCATTTGAATGGTAACAGCTCTACAGTTTCTTATTATTCTAACTGAATTAATTGAAACAACGTAAGAATTTGATGTGAAAGATGACATTTAATTAATATTAGGGGGAAAAATTACCATTTATAAACATAGTGAGAAATGACATGGTTTTATGTACAGCAAATAATTTTTAGTTCATTGTTATTTCTAACTCTTTGCAGTCACAGAGCACTTTATTGTGAGAGTTGTTTAAGTGAGAGAACATCTGTAACTTAGTCCAGATGGGGTTAATAGTAATGATTAATAATTAATTTTATTATGTAAATTTTTTTGCATTAAAATTTGCATAGATTTTGGTTTGCATATGCTGTCAATTATAGATCTTACAGAGAAAATCAGAATCGACAAAAATCGGTATCGGCAGGTAACGCTTACAAAAAAATCGGAAATCGGAATCGGCCAAGAAAATTGTAATCGGTGCATCTATAATTTAATTATTTAAATTGATTTATTTTTTGTATTCATACCACATTGGTTGAAAATAAATAGACATCCGCCGAGCCATTTTAGAGCAAATATATCAATATCCATCAATTTCCCAATGTGGGGGAAACATGAAATATAATCACTGATATGAACACAGTCACGATTCATTATGATTCAAATGTGACTTCTGTTTACTTATCGCCATGACGATAGGGTGTTTCCAGGGTGTTGCTATGCGGTTGCTAAGGTGTTCTGAGTCACGCTCATTGTTCTGTGGTTGCTAGGATGCTGTGGGTCGTTGCTATAGTGATGAATTTTCACAACAATAAAGAATATCACCTGGGCCTATTTCATTGTAATTGTTATTATTTACTATATAGGATTGCAAATAAAAAATAACGCAATCAAAATGGATCAAAATGAAGGTTTGTGGATTTGGTCAGACTTCATATATTATATTATGTATTATTAATTTTTATTGAAATAAAGTCAATCATCTGGGCCTATTTCATTATCATTTTTTATTATTATATACAATCCCAAGTAAAATAAATAAATAAATAAATCATTCATAATTAGTCAAAGGTTTGTGGGTTTAATCAGACCATGTTATTATATGACATTGTATAAATATTATTAATTTTCACAGCAAAAGTAAATTATTTTATTATTTTACAATGATAAAAATTATATTATATTATTTTTAATTTTTTTCAGTCTGCAGTATATTATATTATAAAAAATTAAAAAATTAAATATTATTAATTTTCACAGGTTTACTCATACAGCATTATATTATATTATATTATATTATATTATATTATATTATATTATATTATATTATATTATATTATATTATATTATATTATATTATATTATATTATATTATATTATATTATATTATATTATATTATATTATAAATAACAAAATAACAAAATATTTAAACATTATTAATTCTTAAAGCAAAAAAGTAAACCATATGGGCCTATTTTTATAATTTTAATTATTTTGTTCTATATGATTGCATGTAAAAACTAATAATGCATTATGCTGCTATGAAGAAAACTGATTTCGATGATTAATTGCAGTCAGACTGCATCTGTATGTCACTGCAGGTGCGTACCGCTCGTCTCCTGAGGTTTTACAGATGTGTGTCGTGACTCGTTGCATTGAGTTTTTTGGCTTCACGTGTTAAATCGGTTCAGTTTTATGTGTGCATCACGCTTCACAATGCCTAGCGATGCTGTAAACGTGTGATAAACTGCACTTAAACGAGAACAAACCGCCTCAAAGCTAAAATAAAACTGCACCTTTCACGGTTTAAGAACACAAGCAGAGCTTTCAAGAACAAAGCAGAAATCCATTAGCTATTAGCATGCGCGACACACACGAGTCAGAGACGAGCGAAGACGGATTCAACTTCAACAACATAATAATAATTCATTTTATGCATGTTACATTTTTTTTAAATCGACTGATACCCCTATTACATATATTTTTTGTATTTACTGTCATTTATGTTTTTAATAAATTCACATATTAATTTTGGTGCTTAAATAAATCTATTAATTAATTCATATTCAAATATATAATTATTTTAAAAATTAATTCATTTTATATATATATTAAATAATATCTCAAAATTATACAATAAAAATAAATGTATTAATATAAAAATTATATAGTATATATATATATATATATATATAAAAAATATAAAATAAAATA